CGCCCCGCCCACGCCCACGCCATCGCCCGCCGCGGCATCCTTGGCGACGGCGCCCGGCCGTTCGGCGCATGCGCAATGTTCTCCTGCATCGTGCCCAGCGAGTGACTTGTCTAGTTGGCTGCGTTCTTTTCATTTCGTTTATACTCTTGACACATAACTTAGCCGGACAGTCACCACTAGCTTGCCTTAGTTCCTGCCCGCCCGCTCAGTTCGCGTTCTCAGTGTGTATCTCCAGTATTGTGCCCTCGCGCCTGGTAGAGCCTGCCACGCCGCGCCGGGCCAGGTAGATCAGTGACCCTCTAGTGGCTGGACTTGTCGGCATCGCTGTGCATCTCAATAATTTCTGTTCTTTTCCTGCCCCCCAGCGGACGCCCCCACGATAGTGTCAGTCAACATCTTCCTACGCTCAATCAGCAAAATAGACGATTACAAAATGGTGAGTCTGGTGACGTCACGCTCCGTAACATGGCCTCATTAACCTGTGTGTTATGTATATATCTCTATATGCGTATTTCGAGACTTGTCTGTGATGTAATGCCGTGCGGTGTGCACCTCGACCGCAGGCCGCCGCGCCCGTCCGCCGTTCCCCTGCCCTCCCGCTCCTCGCGGCCGCCGCCTCCGCGACGGGGGCGGTCGCTTCCGTCCAATGCCCCTCGCCAACTGCCTCGAGCGCCCCGCCCCCGCGCCCAACACCCGGCCACGTCCCCTCCCCGCCGCGTCGCCATCCACACGCCCCGCCCTGCCCAGCACTGCCCAGCTTGACCCCGGCGGCGGGGCATTCGCCCTGCTCTCGTCACCGCTTGGGAATCGTCGGAGGTTATCCTCCGGTAGACTTTCTGCAATTTAGCTGTGTGGTCAAGGAAGCGTTCTCCAAAAAAACAAGTGATTATATTTAAATTCACTCTGACGCGAGTATGATGAATTTCATTCTTGAAAATATTTATCCGGTCCGTATGTAGAAGACATGTTGCTCTAGAGAGCCGAGGAGGGCGGAGGAAACAGGGCACAGATTCCCACAAGTGAGCGCATGGGCAGGGCGTCTGTCCCCGCC